TGTGTGTGTGTGTGTGTGTGTGTGTGAATGCGTGCGTGCGTGTGTTTCCAAAACTTCTCTTTCATCTCCCTCCAAATGATTTACTCGACTGTATGGAACACACCTGTGTTGTATTCTCAAGTTTACAGAAATCTCTTAAACCCCCGGTAGCATCTCTGCAGGATATCGTAAATAAACACGCAATGTTGAAGGCGTGTAAATCCTTTCTGGTAATACATCTAAACACCAGTTTATGTGTTTATGTTTAACATGTCATGGGCGCTTGTGACCACATGCAGCGTCCTTCTTTACGTTCTCAGAGAAATTTCACTGAGACATATTTTGTAAAAAAAGGTTTTAGTAAAGGTTTTACGGCGCTCGCAACTGCAAAAGGTCATATGAGCGCCAGAAGATTAGAGGTGTTACAAGAGAGTAACACACATAAAAAAGAAGAAGAGGAGATAAGGACGATAGATGTTTGATAGGAAAAAAGAAGCAAACCACACCAGAGCACCCAACAAACACCCTCAGAGCGAAATTTGTTTTTGAACGTGAAGAGTTTCTAATTACGAAGTGGCTAGCCGTACTTTTGTAGGACTAGCCTTCCAGTCTAACCCTACTTAGGTTAGGCCCTATTGACCAAAACCTGTTGAGTAGACAGGTCTCATTAGTAATTATTCAGGTTTAAAATACATGCACTGTGAGTTGAGGCACCTTTTGGTTTCGTCTCAATTACAAATACTTTAGGTATTGCAAACTGAAAATTTATTTACATTCCATAGGCCTATTTTCTTGTTGTTTGTCAGTCTAGCCATCATTATTAAGTACAGCTAACCTCTTCCTTTTAATTATGATCTCGAGGCTATGAAGATCTTTTTTCCGTTTGGCACGTAAAGATTCGGATTACGGATATTGTGGTATAGTAGTTAGGTTCGTCGTTTGGCATGTGACACAATATGAGTTCGATTCGCCAGAGGGGTTCAGGGCCAGGGTAAGATGGTGTGGACAGTATGTCTGTGTCTGTACTCCCGGCACAGATGTTTGCGTCTCTTACAGATCACGTTGACCTTGACAGGCAAGGTCAGGGCAGTCTACCCGATAAAAGAGCTGCACTCGATGGACGCGCAGGACATGTTTACAACAGTTTTCAGCAATTGCAGCAAACGTATACGACCCGCGGCAGCTAAAATTCTGTATAAAAATTTCTCTCTTTCTCATTCACTCCCTCTCTCTCTCTCTCTCTCTCTCTCTGTTCGGTGCTTCCTTCAAAGACTGAGGAAAAGTACTTGTTGAGAACAAGAACTTTTCGGGCATCAATATACTACTACTACTACTACTACTACTACTACTACTACTACTACTACTACTACTA